CTGGGGGTGGGGCCAGATTTAGTCATGTGCTGAGTGGTGTGCCTATTTGAGAATGTTATCAGCTTGGAAACATTTTTTGAGTGGGCAGCCACAACTCAAACACTGGCAAACCCTTCCTCTTATCACCTCCTACCAAAAATGGCTCATGAGGACTAGGCAGTTGCTTAACAAATGGCCCCCACTGTGGGTCTGGGTTCAGGTTCCAGCAGGGTTATTGCAAATGGCAGCTGGTTCCAGATTTCTCAAGGTAGAGGCTTTCCTCTGGGAGCTGGTTCACATGTTAGTGCTGATCTTAACCTTCCCTCAATCCTAACCTCTTTTTCTTAGCATTCCCTGACACATCCAAAACTGTTTCTACAGACACCTCATTTTCCCTTCTTTCATGCCACCTATGTACTACTACCTTCTACTTCCTGCCCTCTAGCACAAACCAGTGATTTCCACACTTATTTTAGGCTCTGAAAATGTTGCAGAAATGAAATGAGAATGTAAAGAGAAGCCCAGGACACAAAACAGACCAAAGAGGATATGCTCTAGCTAAAGGGAAGAATGTAGGGGTCTAGCAATCCTGTCACTCAGAGTCCCAGCATTCCAGGGGATCTGCGGTGAGTCTCTGATGCAGGAGAATCCACACTGATCTGAAAGTCTTCCCAGGTCTCTGTTGTCTTCCCATGTCTTCCCAGGTCTCTGTTGTATTTGGGTCTGGAGAGAGCATCTGCAGGTCATGAGTCACTCTCTTTTCCTGGGCATTTTCCCTTCCAGGGAAAGAACAGGCCAGGCTGGTGCAGAGTGTTGGAACACCACTACACAGAACATGTTCCCACCGTTCCCACCTTGGTCTCTACCAGAGCTGCATGGCCCAGGTTCTTGGGCCTTCTCTATGAATGGAGTCATTTAATCTATGTGGGTTGACCACAGATTCCCTGGAAAAGGCTGCTTGGGAAGAGGACTCACAGACATGGCTGTCCCACTGTAAGCAAGACCCCAGCGATCCTGTCTTTGAGAGGCAGATGGAGGAAAAGGAGATTTGTAAAGTCAGCATCATGTCCTCAAATTCTCTCTGTCTCTCTGTCAATTGCTCTATCTCCCACCTTCTTTTGGGTTTGGTGCTGGGTGAATCCTGTCCCCCAGCCAGGGACCGCCTGTTCTCCCCTCTGGGGCACGCACCCTGCTGCCCAACCCAGCCCGGCCCAGCCCTGCTGCATACTTCCACTCAGATCGTGCGTCACAGCTATTCATCTTGTTTAGTGCTCGGCTTGGCTGCAGATGCTGTAAATATGGTAATTTTAGACTCCCTGATTGGAAAGCGTTGTGGGTCAGGGAGGAGAGCAATTTGGTTTACTCTTGGAGAGCTGGTTCCAAGCTGGCTCTGCCACTCTCTGTGCACCCCTCTTCACCAAGCTGTGGCCCCATCAGGGCGCCCCCCCTCTTTGTGTTCAGTCCCGATTTCTCTGAGCCTAGAGAGGAGTAGGATAGATCGGATGTATCTGGGCCCTTGGCCTGGAGAATTGCGGGTTAGCACTGAGAGCATGGAGGCTGAGGGGCCAGAGTGAGGCCAGTGACTCATGGGGTGGGGGTCCTGACCCTGGCAAGACAATGCCGAGGGCGGGCTGCCTGGAGATTAGACCCCCACCCAGGGCCGTGTGTTCGGGGGCACACTGAGGATGAAGTGGGGGCTGCCAGAGGCCCCTGACCCCTCCTGAGCTCTCTCCCTTTTCCGTTCTTTCCCTCCTGACCTCCCCCTGTGGGGGGCTGTCACTCCCAAGGGCCTTAGGCAGCAGCTCCCAGGGTTGTCAGCTAATCCCTCCTCCCATCCCTTCGGGGCTTAAAGGCGTAATTTGCATTTGATTACAGGACCCCTGAACTGGGTTGGAGATTCAAATCCCTAGGGCGAGACTTGAGGCTGACAATTTCCAGCACCAGGAATCAGTGGGAGCTGAGAGTCTTGAGCCCAGGGCCATGTCAGGTTCTGCAAAAGCCACTAGATATGCTTCCAGCTGTCTGTTCGCCCTCCTCAGCAGGACAATCCTAATTCCAAGGCTCTGAGTTGGACTTGGAAGGGTCTTGGTTTTTGTGTCTCTGTCTATAAGTCATAGAATGTTTGAACCCAGGAGCCTGCTCAGATTTCTTTGAGTCTAACCTGATGAGAAGTGATTTGTGCCAAATCACAGGGCCAGGTAACCACAGGATTGTTAGCTCACATCTGGTGCTTAGGCCAGGCGCTGGATATACTTGTATAGAAGGCTCTAGAAGAAAGAAAGAAAAAAGTCTGCTAGGTATTTCTTTGTTACTGATTCCTGGGGGGACACCATGGCACAATCCTAGTGCTATCGCATGATGTTTGGTCACCTCCAGCGACAGGAAACTTGCCTCTATAAGTCAGTCTATGAAAACACTGGTCCGCTCTGTTGTGTCATAGTTCTTTACTGGTGCAAGCTGTTTGTGCTAAAAATGCCTTGTAGCCAAACTGCACCGTTTTGGACTGATTTTGGTTATGGTTTAAAGAAGCTCAGGCATCAAACATCCCCAACAAAATGATCCTACTGCTCTCCATCCTATAGAACAAATCAGAATCACAGCTAAAATAGTCTTCCCTAGAGAGGTATGGCTTGGTCTACTTTGAAAAAAAGATGGGCCTTGAGTTTAAACACCATTTTGCCTGTTGAAATGCAAATGGTTGGAGTACTTGGAAACCGTTTGTTTTTTAGTGGATTCACAATTCCCCCCGGAAAAAAAAAAAGAAAAAAAAAAAACTGTTCTACAGAATTTACTAAGCACACTCTTCCTTCACGTGCAGCATGGGATTTTATATCAGCCATCCCTGGTGGGTCAGAAGTCTGAAAGCTTTGCTGTACCCAATCCATCAACCCCAGCAGTGATCTGTTTTCTAGAGAGGCAAGGGTGGGAGGGTGGGGGTCGGTACAGGCTTTCTGGGGAGATTTGAAAATAACAGCACATTGGTGAGGGAAGGAGTTGCTTCCAAAATTTTCAAAAATAGTTAAGGAGGAAGTATTTATAACCATGAGGACTGGCCAGTAGAGAACACTGACAAGCTGGTGGAGGGTGAGGAAAGAGAGGCAGGAGAGCATGGAGGTGGCTCAAGACCGGAGTTTAAAATTCCCGTTATCTCCCAGGCAATCATTTTTGACAGCATCCCCCACCACCCGCCAGACCTGGTAAAGAAACCTTCACAGGGCTCCCCACCCATCCCCTGGGTTCAAATCACAGCTCTGTCATTCACTACATAGACGATGATTTCAGGCAAGTGAACATCCTCTGAACCTTACTGTCCTCCATGAAATGGAACTAATGGGAACACTCACTGGTTTGTTATGAAGATGAATCCAGGTGGGAGAAGTCCCCTACGCGTGGCCTCGGCACAAGTCTGCTATCTCACCTCCACTTCCATGCCATCCTGTGCTCCACCCCAGATTACTGGTCCCAGATTACTGGTCCTGCCTGTCACTTCTCTGCTTCTTCTCCCCTGCCAACAAATTAAATACTCTGCCAGGCTCTGGCCCGGTAGTCAGCACCCCCATGCCCTGGCTCCAGGGGACCTTCCCAGGCACATGCCTTATCCCTCATACGTATGAGGCCAAAGGAGCACACTTACCACCTGGCAGGGTGCTTAGAGAGTACTGGGCATGTGGTAAGCACTCAGTTCTTACTATGATTCTACAATCTGTCTTTTGCTTAGGCCACTTCTCCCCTCCCTCTCATTCTGGCTGGACTCCAACGCCCCCAGCCACCACCACCTTCATAAGACGTACCTGCCTCTGGTCTCCTGTAACGGTCTGATGTGAGCCACATTCATATACCTGATGCGCTTAACAATATTTATGTCCCAGGTTTATCTCTTTTTCCAGAAGGAAAACACGTCCAGGTCAAGGGCTTTCTCTCACACTTATTTATAAGCCCTCAGCACCTAGCACAGTGTAGCGTACACAGTAAGTTCTTATACTAGACTGTGATGGCCTTAACAATGATAATGGCTCTACTTTATTAAGCGAATGTGCAGGTTACTGGGGACTTCTCCCACCTGGATTCATCTTCGTAACAAACCAGTGAGTGTTCCCATTAGTTCCATTTCATGGAGGACAGTAAGGTTCAGAGGATGTTCACTTGCCTGAAATCATCGTCTATGTAGTGAATGACAGAGCTGTGATTTGAACCTAGGTTGGTCCATTCTAGAACTTGAACTTGATCTTCTACAGGCTCCCTTATACTCTCATGAAGACAGGGACTGTGTCTTTCCCCCTAAGACAAGGTTGCAAATTGGCAACCAGAGGACCAAATCTGGCCCACAGATGTGTTTTGTTTGGCCCATGCAGTGTTTTTTAAAAATCGGGAGATTTTACATCATCATCTACATTTCTGGCTCCACTGGAAAACCTGGGAGATCTGGTCACCCTGAATACTAGCGTGACAAGGCTGAGAATCAGCCATGCCCTCCTTTCTCTCTGGCCCTTCCAGGCATTGCCTGCCTCAACTTTTCAGTTCAGTGTTTCTCCCCCAGGGTGGTGGCATGAGACGAAGGTCCATTCTTGGTTACGTACAACTGTCCCAGATAGTGTAGAATGTTTAGCAATCCTGGCCCTCACCCACTAAATCAGTAGCACTTTCCTCCAATCATCTGGATGATCCTAATCACCCCCAAATGTTTGCAAAGCCCCTGGTGTAAGGCACTTGCAGATCACCCCTTGTATCACCAGTGACGGCACACAGTAGGGCCTCAGGTAAATAGATTAAACAGACTTACAATGAAATATCCACACTGAATCCTTCCCCATATCAAAGGTTCCCATGACAACAGAGGCAGAAAAACGGAATAACCATAGCATTTAAAAAATAAATTATCTGAAGATAATTTAACACATTCCTCTAAACACCTGTCCAACAATGGGGAAAAAAATTAGTAATAACACATTTCCATTGAGGCATTTCCATTCTGCATGCCTCAGCTCCCGCTGTAATGTTAATTGGTTATGGTTTTCTTCTAGGCCTTACGTGTAACGAGAGTTACTGTACAGCTGTCAACCAGACCCCACCCGGGAAAGTCTCCATTTAAAGGGAAAAGAACTGAATCACCCACAGCTTTTACAGAGAGGTGTTAATAATATTTTTGCTTTCCGTTCTAATTATAAAAATACTGCGTGCTTACAGTAGACATTTCAGAATATAGTAAAATACTAAAAGTAAAAATCACTCATAATTTCATTGCCTGAAGATAATCATTGTTTATATTTTTGTATATTTCCCTCCAGTCTTTTTTTTTCCATATGCACATGTAATTTGTGTTTATTGTTGCCAGTTTTATTTGGCTTTTAGCAAAATGGAGACATACCGTTTACAGTTTTCCTTGCCATCTCATGGCTGTACCCATTATCAGTTTAATCAATCCCCATTTGTTGGACAAAGAGTTGCTTCTCAGTTTTTATAGTAAATAATATAGCAATCAGCTTCCTTGTTCCTAAGTTCTAATTATTTCTATAGAAACTGTGATAGAGCCATCAGCACAAGAAGAAATCATCCCCTCTACAGGAAGATGGTGTTGGCTCTGGATCTAGAGAAGATGGGTGGAGTAAAGGGGAGACTGAGGTCTGGTAAGGAATGCCCAGGCAGGGAGGAGCCCGTGTTATTGAACTTGAACCTCATCCTGCAGCTGCAGGCCGGCCATCTGCCCAGAGTGAGGGGAGGGGCCGTGAGGTTGGGGACTAGGATTCTAAGCTCTCACCGCAGGAAGCAAACAAGGGCTTAACCGAAGGATGAAAATGGTTTGGCAACACTGAGAGCCCAGTCGCGGTCACACCGTGGGATTTAGTGATAGAGACCATAGGCACAGACACACAAGTCTCCACAAAGCTAGGAGACCGAAGCCAAAGTGGTGAGGGGGTAAGGGTGGGGATCGTAGGATTAACTCAAGTTTGGGAAATGGTCTAACAGATCCAGCCAAAGTTCAGAGGGGATGGTGAGAGCCTCAAGAAATCTTTTCCCACCCCCAAATGGAAAGATTACTGTAATACCTAAGTAAAAATACTTTTGCAACCCAGGAAATAGAACTAAGAAGTTATCTTTGCCTATGAAAATGGCTTTACAGACCCAACCTCAGTTGGGCATAGACCCTGAGTTGCTGTTATGGTATAAAAATAACAACAACAAACAATTGCTACAGCACGTCACAGTTTACAAAATGCTTTATACAATATATTAACCCAATCTCTTGGAGTGGGTGTTATTAAATGTTATCCCCTACTTTGCAGAAATGAAAATTGAAACTCAAATAGTGTGATTTGTCTAAGTGCAAACAGCAGCGGTATTGGGCTCCAGATGAGGATGAAGGGCAGAGTTGTGATAATTAATATACTCTCTTGTGACCTACTCTTCTGTTTTTGCAAAATGACTTTTGTTAGGAAACAAATATATCCCGTGCCTGTGACCTTGACCTCCTCAGCAAGATGAATTAACCTTGTGAGCCACCAAGAAGAGCCAGTTCTCTCCATGTTTAGAGAGTGGGCTTAGTGTTTTACCTAGCAGACTGATCTTGCTGTGCCTGGAATAGACCATGCACATTCTTGCCGCAGGACCATTCCCTGTCAGGTGGTTCCTACACCTGGAATGTTCCCCTCCAGATGTGGACACGCTCTTTCCCTACCCTCTTCAAGTCTATGCTTAAATGTCACTTTCTCCGTGGTGCCTTCCCTGACCACCTTATTTTTAAATTGCAACCCTCCCACCACCCTACCCATCGCTGGCATTTCCTGTCTTCCTTCCCTGCTTTATTTTTCCCCATAGCATCAATCACCTTCTAATATACTATGCATTCTTTTCATTTTCCTCCTTTCTCTACTAGCATGTGTGATAAGGACAGGATTTTTGTCTGTTTCATTCCCTGCTTTTTCCCCATGCCTAGAACATGTCTGGAACATAGTAGGTGCTCAAGAAGCAATTGCTGAATGAATAGCAGTAGAGGTATTAGAACAAATTTTAAAAAATATTCGTGGGGCGCCTGGGTGGCGCAGTCGGTTAAGCGTCCGACTTCAGCCAGGTCACGATCTCACGGTCCGTGAGTTCGAGCCCCGCGTCAGGCTCTGGGCTGATGGCTCAGAGCCTGGAGCCTGTTTCCGATTCTGTGTCTCCCTCTCTCTCTGCCCCTCCCCCGTTCATGCTCTGTCTCTCTCTGTCCCAAAAATAAATAAACGTTGAAAAAAAAATTAAAAAAAAAATATTCGTAAGGGGCGCCTGGGTGGCTCAGTCGGCTGAGCATCCGACTTCAGCTCCGGTCATGATCTTGCAGTTGATGAATTCGAGCCCCACGTGGGGCTCTGTGCCGACAGCTCAGAACCTTGAGCCTGCTTCAGATTCTGTGTCTCCTTCTCTCTCCGCTCCTTCCCTGCTCATGCTCTGTCTCAAAAATAAATAAAATTAAAAAATTAAAAAAATTCTTAAGAACATTAGCACAGTGACTAGCTCACGATAGAGAATCAATGCATGTTGGTTCCCTTTCTCTCCTTCCCTTCTCCTGTGTTAAATGTTATCCACTCAGCACGGTCTTTTTTTACAATTAAAGTATTTCTGGAAGGATAACACATTAAGACTTGACATCTAGTCCACGAAGCAGATATTGCAGGGAAAGCCCCCCCGACACTGGCCCTCTAGGGAAGTGGGTGAGTCACACCCTGAAGTAGCCAGGGTCTCCTGGTCCATCTAGTGGGAGGGGGACTCAAGGTCTCCCTGGGCATTTCCCACACTGTCTGTGATTCCACCCAAGTGTGAACCAGTGCAGGGCAGATGGGAGACAAGCATGGGGGACCGTGGTGGAGTGAGGCTCCCTCCTTTTCACCTGCTAGAATTGCCACCTTCACAGACAGCTGTGCAGGTGAATCCTGGCACATCTGTTCATTGACCCATATATGGAAGGTGAAAGTTTTCCTCAACCCTCTTGGGGTCCCTGGCTAGGTCTGAAAATTAAACTGATAAAGACAGTTTAGTATGAGAAAAGCATACATATTTGTTTAAGGTAGGTTGTATGTGATGTGGGAACCTTCCCAAGGAAATGGAGGCCTGGAGAAACTGTCGGATCTGAGTATTTGTAGGCTCTGTTTGATCAGGAGTGGGCAGTCGTGGAGGAATGTGATAGCTTAAGGAATATGAGGCAAGTGTAGTAACCTGGGGGAGCTTAGCAAAGCCTCTTTATTAAGGTTCCTCTTGTCCCTTTGTCTTTGGAGATAAGATACCTCCAGGTATAGGAAGGGTACCCTTTAAGTGAGGGTCTTATGACCCATTTCATGGGAACAGTGTTGGTGAGGGGCAGGGTGAGGGGTAAGAGAACACAGTGATATTCCTGCTTCTGCCATTTTCTCAGTCTCCTTCAGCTTAAAGTATTCAATATGCCAAGGTGCCATATTTTGGGGTAGCATATTCTGAACCCCCTCACCTGCCGTGGTGTTGCAGAGGGTCCCATGACTTTGGCTGGGGCATTGCTGGGTTCCTCACTCACACACTCATCCTTTCATGCTCACATTCATTTATTCAGGAGGTGTGTACCGAGTATCAGCATGTGTTTAGTGCCGTGCTAGGGCCTAGGGGAGCTGTGTGAACAGAACGGACTCAGGCTCATGGCTCCCAGTCTGTAAGGCGGACAGACCTCAAACTTGAAAGTCTTTCCAGACCCTGCGCCACCGTTTGGTTTGACTTTCCTATCTTCCTTTGGAGTTTTTTCTTCCCAGAGCCTTGCTCAGGCTGCTCCAGGAACCAGTGGCCTCCTACCTCTGCACCCTCCCTCCTTGCAGAGCAGGCCCTCATTCCCCGCCCCCCACCCTGCTCCAGATTGTTCCAGAAGCAAGAGCCAGATGGAGGATTGTAGCCCCAAGCTAGCCAGCAGGCTAGTCAGGGGGAGAAAAGGGCCTCTAATTCCCTAAGGAGGGGCTCGCCTGTCCTGAATGGCAGGTGCCAGAGCTTTGGGGGAGCAGGGCAGGTCAGAAGAGGAGGAGCCCAGAGCAACGGGGGGACCTCCAGGGCAGAGGCGAGGCAGGCTAAGCGGGGGTGGCTAGAGAGAGAATGAGAGAAAAGGAGAGATCGACGAGTAGGTTTAGTGTGTGAAACAAGAGGGGAACTGTCACAAGAGGTTTGGGGAAGCTTTGCTGTGAAATACCCAGCGGGTACCCCCTGCAAGACCTCTGGAGAAAACCGGCTGTGGAGATCACATTAGTCCTGAAAGCTGTAGGAGTAGCTGTGTTTCTCTGACGGTGAGTCCAAGCGGAGGCTGTGCTGCAGGGACGGCCAGCCTGTTCCCTGACTGTTTCCGCACACTGTGGGTTTCCACTGTTCCCCGAGTAAGCCACACGATTTCCTGCCTCTCTCAGCCACCATTCAGGGCCATTCTCAGGAGTCCCCAGCATCTCCAGCAGTGCTACCTCTCCTTCCTACGATCCTTCCAAGAACTCTTAGCTGGCCACCAGGAAGCATTCTCTGTTCCTCCCCCCACACCTTCAACCTCTCCTCGGACATTCCCTTGTACTTGGTCATTATCTTCCTGAACATGACTTAGCTGTTGTACCACCTACATTGCACACTCCTTGAACCAACTTCCCAGAGCAAGTCCCAGAAAGGTTGCTCATGGAACGGGCTGGTAGCAAAGGCAATCGACATCCCAAATGTGCCTGCCCCCTTGGGTCTAGTCCCTGGAAACAACTCCAGTGGCCTTGAAGAATTAATATTCCTGTCAGAGTGGCTGCCCTTCTAAGGGTCCTGATAGCTCTTGTTATATGCAAAGTGGAAAAGGTAAGGGACTGTTCTCTGCATTTCCTGCCTTTCAATTGAGTGAGGACAGATAGATGATTTATTGGGCATTTCCTAGCCTCTCCTTCACCATAGGAAACCAGCCTGAAAAAAAGGTGCAAATTTCAAAAAGATGTGTGGCTGTTTTGAGGGGGCGTGGGGAGAATTCCTGTGTACCATTAAAGTGAACAAAGAAAACCTCTCACAGCAGGAACTCTGGTCCAGAAGCAGACTACCCATAAATTCCCACCACCCTTTGAGGGTGCAAAGCCACGTGTGCTGGTGCTGGGAGACTAAGGCTTCGAAGTGTCCTCCTCTCTTGGCTCCCCATTTCCAGATGATCCAGCCTGGGCTTAGGGTGGTAGAGGTGTGGCCTTAGCCATCAGCTTTCGCCACAGAGGAGCAAGGGGTCTGGGGGCCTTCCTACCCTTTCACGTGTTGGTTTCAGTTGGAAACAGTTAAGTAGCAGCACCCCACCCCTTCCCCATGAGAGAGAGAGAGAGCCAGGGAAAGCAGCCAAGAACTGGGGGCTCAGCAGATGCAAAAGCCTGACTGATGCTTCCCTACCACTCTGCAGTGGGAGTCGTGTTCGTTTCCTAGAGCTGCCCTGACAAAGTACCACACACTGGTGCTTAACTGGGTAGCTTAAAATGACAGCAGTGTATTCTTGCCCAGTCCTGG